TATGCAAATCAATTAATTTTTTTAAATGGGATGACCCCTATATTTTTACAATTTTAGGTAGGTACTCATTGAAGTTCTCTATGGTCACTAGTACACACCTACAAAATATTGTTTCTAACAAAACAATTTACCGGAAAATATTACATTTTTAGACGCCTATTAAAATATGTAGTGCTCTCTCGAAAAACCCAAAAAAAAAATTACAAATGTATAAAGCCAATAGATTTTTTTAGACCAACTTTTAAGTTTCCAGGATATACAGGGTGTTTCAGATTTAAACGGACACAGCTTAATGGGAGGTAGAGTACACTTAGCTGAGTTCAAAACACCCCTATACTTAGCCTTTAATCTTACTCGTTTCTGAGATATAGGGTGTTTTATGACTTTTTGCCAAAACTAAAATCGGCCATTTTGTTTGAACGGCTAGAGTTATTCTGATAAAATTTTGTACAAAAGTTACTCTCTCTTAGGTTAATAAAAATCATAATTTAATTTTGAAAAATTCCAGGACCGGACTCTATTTTTATATTGCTCTTCTTAGCTAGAATATCACCCTGTATATCGGATTTTAATAAATGTTACTACACATTTAACTAGTACATGGATCAACAAATGAAATAATGTAATAATATTTAATGGCACCATCTTGATGTTCTTACAATAAATTTTTATAATGGCGACTACATTATTGTAAATTAGTATTTACAAAATTAAAATCAAATATTTTACCATGTACTTTTAAAACTCTACACAAATTAGGTACCATCTTCATTTGTTTTTAACTACTGCATTTTCCAATAAAAAATTGAACATCTACACAGGACCGGGCTCATTTTATTTGATAAAGTAACAGAACAAACTAACAGAAACAAATAATTAATTTAAACTAAAGTAAATTTTCAAAATGAACACCGTGAACATCAATACACCTCTGCGAACGTTTTAGCAGGTTTTTCACTGATTTGTCAATTATTTCCGGTTTATTTCTAATGTTGTTGCATACATTATTAATTTTTTCCAATAACTGTGCTTCGTTGTACACCTCTGATTTAAGGTAGCCCCATAAAATATAATCCAGAGGTGTTAGATCTGAAGATCTTGGTGGCCAATTGTCGGGACCCGCCTCGACTTATCCAGCGACTTGAACACACATTAAATGTTTGGTGTGGAATTTTTAAAAAAATCACTTAATACCCAAGCACAGTTAAATCATCGTTTCCCAAATAGATGGATAAGTCGAGGCGGTCCCGTCAATTGGCCACCAAGATCTCCAGATCTAACACCTCTGGATTATTTTTTATGGGGCTACCTTAAATCAGAGGTGTACAATGAAGAAATTAATACCTGACCTAAAAAATTAACAATGTATGTAACAACATTAGAAATAAACCGAAAATAATTGACAAATTAGTGAAAAACCTGTTAGAACGTTCGCAGAGGTATATTGACGTTCACGTTGTTCATTTTGAAAATCTACTTTAGCTTTATTTGTTTCTGTTAGTTTGTTCTATTACTTTATTAAATAAAATGAGCCCGGTCCTGTGTAGATGTTCAATTTCCTAATGGAAAATGTTGTAGTTAAAAAAAATGAAGATGGTACCTGATTTGTGTAGAGTTTTAAAAGTACAGGGTAAAATATTTGATTTTAATTTTGTAAATACTGATTTATAATAATGTCACCATTATAAAAATGTATTGTAAGAACATCAAGATGGTGCCATTAAATATTATTACATTATTTCATTTGTTGATCCATGTACTATTTAAATGTGCAGTAACATTTATTAAAATCCGATATACAGGGTGATATTCTAGCTAAGCAGAGCAATATAAAAAAAAGAGGGTCCGGTCCTGAAATTTTTTAAAATTAAATTATGATTTTTATTAACCTAAGAGAGTGTAACTTTTGTACAAAATTTTATCAAAATAACTCTAGCCGTTCAAATAAAATGGCCGATTTTATTTTTGGCAAAAAGTCATAAAACACCCTATATCTCAAAAACGAGTAAAATTAAAGGCTAAGTATAGGGGTGTTTTAAACGCAGCTAAGTGTACTCTACCTCCCATCAAGCTGTGTCCGTTTAAATCTGAAACACCCTGTATATTAAATTTAATTATGATACTTTTTGACTAAGCTTGCATAAGACCGAAAAAAAATAATATTTGATGCTTGATATATTTTTTTTGGGTTTGTGATCATTATAATTATGAAGAATAGCTTTTTCTCGTAAAATTATTAGTAAATGCAGCTAACATAAGTAGACTATATACAGGATGTCAATTTAAAAACTTTTATTTAAACCTAACATTAATGGCAACAAAAAAGAATAAGTTTCATAATGAAGTTTTTCATTTTGTATATATTTATACAGGGTGTTTTAGAACGTCCTAGTTTTCATTCTACAGGGTGATAAAGTCAATTTCATAAATATATATTTTCTAAATATCTTCTCTTACAGAAAAGACTTTAACTTAAAAATATGTATATGATAGTTAATCGTTATTATTATTTAACACACTATTTCGATAAATTACCATAACCCATTGGTGTAGAATGAAGGGCTAAAGAAACAATTTTATTCGAAACTTTTTGAACATCCTATATTTCATAAAATTTAAGATTAATAAATATTTCTCACGCCATTTGTCACAAAAAATGGACTTCTGGTTGATCTTTGTAGACCTTCCCATTTCCGAGGTGATGGAACTGATTTATTTTATATATGAAACATGTCTCAAATATGGCTAATTTTAAGTTCAATTTACTCAATTTTGTCAAATGCAACACACTTTATATTATTTTCGCATAAAATTCCTTATAAATTTACCTATCCAACGATACCAACATGTTTCAATAGTGTGTAATTGATCAATAGCCGTTTTATTATTGAAAATAGAAAAAACAAATTAATATAAAAGTTGTATGACAATGTTTAATAAATGATTTTCGAAAACTCATGTGGAGATGTTGATCTGCTTGATCCCCTCTCCCTATTTACGCCACTGGTTAGTGTAACGAAGGGAAGGGACATGTCTTATAACATTTGGAATGAAAATCTACCTATCCCAATCAATTTTTGATATTCTTTTTTATTAAAAGATTTTGCCAGAGAAAAGTTTTTAAATTAATACCCTGTTTTTTTTGTAACAAAATTTTATAATTCAATTTTTTCTATTAGTGATTATTTTGAATTTGATTTCATTTGATGCATAAATAGATTTGTATAATAACCAACGTTTCTTCTCTTTCTTCAGGATCACCATCAACTTATTTTTTTTTAAATGTAGGGAAAAGAAACTAATTTCAAATTTTGGTGGTTATAATATAATTATTTTTATATTCAAATATTTTTAATATAGATCAGTGGCGTGCCGTTTTGGAAAGACGTGATATTTTTAATGTAGATCATTGGTGTGCCATTTAGAGGGGGAAATATTGATATTTATACCTACATTGTGACCACCCGATTTCCAAAATTATTTTTCTATTTATTCAAATTTTAATTAATGAATATATTTAATTTTGATATTTCTTTTTCTTTTCAGTGCTTTGAAATCAATGTGTCGAATCGCCATTAGTCCGAAAATTGTAACGGGTAGGAGTATGTTGGAGTTGCTAGTATATACACCAATTTTACTCGGTTTTAAAATTAGTTTTTTGTTCGAAAAGCAACTCATGTTTGTCGACGTCGTTTATGCCGATGGGACACATGCGCAGAAACATAATTTTTGTCTGTTGTATCGACATAGACGATGTGGTGTATTTGTGATCGTTTCTTTTGACAATAAAGACGTTGGATCCTCAGAACTTTACACCTTTTGAATTTGTTTACTGTGGAAAAAGTACGATCGGAAAATGATTCTACAGTATTCAGTTTTTCGAAAGTGTAAATTCTGTACGGTTCGAACGGACAAGGCTGCAAAAATAGTGGTCGGCGATGGTTTTACGATTTTTATTGAACTCAAATGAACTTATTTGGAGAAACAACCTTATTTTTATTTAATATAGATAGACTTGTAAATAAATTTAATGCAAGTATATATTTTTTCAAGTAATTTTTTTATTTATTAATGAAAATAAGAAATAACCTTCTGTTTTAAATTTTTAACTTCAACATACTATAACATAAAAATAGACAATTAGAATATTTTTTTATTAAGCAAACTTCTTGTATATATAATATACATTGTTATTCTATAGTTTATCCTTTAAAATTTATATCAAGTAAAAAAATTTGAGTTTAATAACAACCTAGAGGCATTGAAGGCTTGCTATGAAACGGAATGAGACGTTGAGTATTGAGGTCAGAATGAAAGATCGTCGCCGGGAACAGAAGATTTCCGGAATGAATATACCGGGTGACGCGAAAAAATGGTTTTTGGATCTTGGATGGGAGAAGCTAAGAGAACGATTGGACCATGGGACTTCGTTGACTTCAATTGGAGGTGAGTGTTTATTAATTTCTTATTTTTACTTTCGATATCATTTTTTAGTAAAAAAATAAGTAAACTATGGATATAACTGTCACAATTTGCCTGGAACATATTCCCGTCCATAATAGCTTCGTTTGATTTTTTAATGATTGGTACTGTCAAAATATTAGTGATTTTTAAATTAGAGATTCATGTTGACTAATTTGGTTACACTGCCACTAGATAGAAATGAAAAAGAAACAAAATACAGAGTGCTTTATAAAGAAAACTAACTTTGATAGATATCACTTTACTTGAGTACCCTGCATATTTGAATTAGTATTATGATTAAGGATTAAGTTGAACTGTAATGGGGCCATTTGTACTCGATAATACTATTAATAAAGGACAGGGCCGCCGAGAGCCAGGTCGGGCCCCAGGACAATTCTCCAGATCGGGCCCCGTGACAATTTTATAAAAACATTTCTTCTCCTCTTTACTTAAATTTCTCTAAAAAAAAAGTCCTTAAGCAAAAACTTCTCCGCCTCTACTTGAATTTTCTAAAAAAAAAACAAAAAACTTCTCCTTCAATCTCTCGGTCGCCAAGCAAAAACTTTCCCTTCTTGTTTGTCTCGTGCCGAAGTTCTGAAAGAAAAAGAAAATCCTCGCCACGGTTGCCAGGCCCCCATTATACCGCTGCCGGGCCCCCATTTGAACCCGGGCCCCAGGAATGTCTCGGCTGCCCCCCCCCCCCCCCTCTTGTCGTCCCTGATAAGGGAGTATAAGTAGACTCTCTGATTGAAAATTGTTATAAATAATTTGAAAATATTTGTTGCAACAAGTCAGTTGTTTTGTGCGCAGCATAGCAGGTTGTTCCATCCTGCTTCAACGACATGTCATCTATTAATAATCAGGATGTATCTATTCGACATTTGAAGTAATTTTTCCTTTTATAAATCCATAATTATTTATAAATAACTTAAAATTACCATTAATTTCTCTTTGTTTTTTTAGATAGATACAACTAATTATTTTACCTCCAACTAATACCAAAAAGTATGTTTTTTTATACTGCAAAAACTCCAATCCGTTACAGTACGGAGGAATCTTTTTTACTTCCAGTAACTTTCCATCTTCGTCTGTTAAATCTACTCGATCTGCAATAATAAATAAACAACATATTATTAGGAGTGAGGGTAGCCATATGTGAGTAGTAGGGATTAAGTGTAAAGGTTAAAGAAAAGGTCCTTTATTTCTCACAAGTCAATTTATTGGCGACCGGTTTCGAAGTTGTCACTTCATCATCAGGCACACCTAAATGGAATGTCAAGGAGTCAGTTGTAATAAAAACAATTATAAAAGCATGAACGGACTAAAGTTCAATTTTATCTACTGTTTACTTTACCTTTAAGATCTTTTGGTATTCCAACTTCTTCTATCAGATAGTCAATAATAATTCCTATATAGCAATTAGGATTAAAAAGCAAATCTCTGTTTACTATGGGAACGTCCAAAAATAGATCAGTTTTGGAGCGTTGTGTCGTTTGTAGCTGGAATTCCTCATAATCTATAAAAATGCTTAACTTTATTACTTTTTTAAATTGTAAATTTCTACCATACTTATGTAAATGAGAGTGCAATACATTTATTTCCAAGTGGACATATGTATAATAAAATGACGTTTAATATAAATTTGACAATAATGATCACAGTGACAGGTTTGTAAATAATAATAGTGAAGTAATCTCGTAGTAACAACTAATCAGATTTGTCTGAATAAAAGAGGAGTTCAGTAAAAATGGGGATAAAACGTCACATTCCATAGGCGCACTTGGCAAAATAAGTTGCTACAATATAAATAAAGTCATGGTATATACGAAAAAAGTTATATTATTTACAAAAAATAAAAATAAATCTTATGCTTCTGACAAAATTTTTGCATTTTAACATTGAACCTATTAAATGTAACCAATATTAATTTAATTCTGTGATATTGGTAGTTTTTCTGCTTTTTTAGAGGTATCTCCACTTTTTATAGTACAATCTCCTCTTGGGTCTCGTATCTCTTGAGGGGACTGACTCCACTGTAGGAAGATTCTACCTCGACATCTTCTACCAAGGTTTCCTCTTCTGCAGAGGACTCTTTGGTGTCCTCTTCTTTGCTGTGGATACACTCAACCTACCTCTTCGTATTCTACTAAGGTATCTTCCTCTGTAGAGGACTCTTTGGTGTCTTCTTCTCTGCTTGTGCCTGAGTTATTCACCTTTTCGACAGGTTTTTGGTCATATCCTCCTTTGACTCTGAATTTGCCTCCCTAAGTCATAGTATTGGGACATGTAGAGCATTTTTAGCTCCTCTAGAGATTTAGGATCCATCAAGAAAGCCTACGTTTGACCCTTTTCCTATAGAGTTTCATCCCAAACCGTTTAAAAGTGTGTATTTAACCTATGGGTGGCTAGTTTCAGCCTTTTTAGGATTTTTTTCCCTTCAGGCCTTTGTTCTCTTGCATCGGGAACAAATCTTGTTCGATGTGACGATTTTTATTGATATCAAACTCCCTTTATCAATATATTTTACACCAAATTAGATTTAATTGAAATGGAAATTAATAAAATTAATTTAGTGAATTTTAACAAGGAGGTGTTTTATACGAAGGATATATAAAAGTTATTAAACAACATAAAATGCCTCTGCGAATTTTCCATGTTGAAAATGCCAAACTTTTAATGACTCGGGTGTGTGTGTGTATAAAAAGTTTTATTGAAGCGAACGAATGGAAATCGATAGTGCTAAAAATGTACAATAAAGATCTTGAGTATAAAAGCACTTTCTCGCGTTTTCCATAATGGCATTGAGGTTGGATACCTTAACATAGGTAATTGCCACGTTGAAATCCTGTTGTATACTTTTTTTAAGCTTTATTTTCTTTTAAACTAAAAATACCCATCATAATTTATTACATAATACACGAGATAGATTTCCTATATGTAGGGATGAAATTCAGTGATTCAAACAATTGAAAATTCAATTCAAAGCTTTTATTAGACAGATGATAGACGTATTCGAGTGCAAGAATTCGTTAAAAAACTGGCGCCAAATGAGTAATGTGAACCGGTTGTATTTTTTCGAGAGGGTGCCAGGGCTTTTAGCAGAACAAAAACAGAAATTTATCATAATCTACATTAGATTTATTATAGAAGTAAATTTTTATAAAATATTGATTTTGGATGAAATTGCTAATACAGTTACTAAAGTAGTTAAAAAAAAACTTTTTACAATCTACAAAAATAAAACATAAGCATCACAAAGCAAGATATATTCAAAATAAATATATTTAGACATCAAAATATAGCTTTCATGTAAAAAATAGTTTTATGGAAATCATCTTCAAAGAATTTTGACTTATTTTCAATGCACCAGGTCTTTATTTAACAAATAATGTTTTTGAAACATCAAAATACCGCTTTCATGTAAAAAATTAATTTTATGTACACCATCTTCAGAGAATTTCGACTTATTTTCAATGCACCAAACCTACGAATACGAAACAATACTGTTTTAATTGTTGATTTTCAACAAAAACTAAATAATTATTAAATAAACCAATGAAGAAACCGCCCTTGCACCTCATTAAACTCATTGGGGGGTTCTTCGTGTCAAAGTATGTTTTTTTTTAGTTTCTCAAATAAATTAATATTTTAAATATCGCAGAGAAGTTTTTTTAATATTAATTTGCCATTTTTTCCGGGAACATTTTTTCTAAAATCAAAACCTATATTTTTTATAATATATAATCAGAATTTTTTATCTATCGTCTGGTATATTAAATGTTTCATAAAAAAGTAATCATTGAGAGTAAATATCTAAGATTGAGCCTTGAGTTAAATGCTTTTTGTAATTAGAAGTGAATTGTATAAAAAACAGCAAATGTTTGTTCGTGAATAATAATTATCGATTTATTTTTTTTTTTTTTTAGAAAATTTAATTTAACGTCAACAATGTAACAAAAGTTTGAATTAAATTTTATTCCAATTGAAGCACGATCACAAAGGTTAACATCGATTTTAAACTAAACACTCTTTCAAGTTTTAAATTATATTTGAAACCCTAAATTCTCTTCTTTGGGTAAAAAGATGAAACGACAGGACAATTATTAGTGTCTCGAGAGTTCGTAGGGGAAACCTTTGATATTGATATAGCTATTTGTACAAGTTTAAATTAAAAACCCTTGAAATTAGTCGTATCACAAAATATATAGATGAAGATTAAATTTAATCCGACAAATTAAACATTAAATTAAATACAGAATTTGATTTTGTAAAGGTAACAAATGAATCAAAACTATAAAGAATTATATCGTATATCCGGTGCAACAACGTCGTAAGTGCAAAAATCTATTTATCACAAGGGACTCATTTGAAAGTTTTGCTCGTCATAAACTGAAATATATTAAAGGATAAATAATTGAATAATTGCTTATTTATTGTTTATGTTATATTTACTACATTGTTGTACCAGATTTATTTGGTAACTAAAAAGTCACTTTCTAATATTTTTGAACTTATGACGTTGTTGTACCGGATGTCCGATATTATGTAATATATTTTGATTTAATAACTATTCCAAATTAGATAGATACTGAATTTAATTCAAAATTAAATCAGATATACCAGTTTTTTCATGCCTATAGTAAATAAATTTGAACACTTACTCCATGTATTTAAAAACCACTCTGTGGTCTATCACAAAAGGCAGCTACAAACATAGTAATTAGGTTATTTATTGTTTCGGCCTTTACTTGATGAAAATCCATATTATCTTAAATGAGTAAAACCAAATTTGGTAGATTTTCACAAAATCTATTTAAAAAAAATAAAATAAAAATTAAAAACAAGAATTTTAAAAAGTTTTTTCCTAAAATGTTGAAATTTTACATATAGAAAATAAGGGCATTAAACTAAACCATTTAGAAACACTTGAAATAAATAGAATTAAAAATTCAAATAACCTACTAAATGATCAATTAGATATTAATAACTTTATCTGATTTTCTTAAAATTTGGCAAAATTATTTATAATGTGAAGAAGCTAATTTAAACCTACGTAGAATAAATTTATTGAATCCAGTGGCGTCCTAGTGTCCTCTTAAAGAAAATTACTGATTAAAAAAATTAATTCATTGGCGGTTTTTGAATTTTTATATTTGTTTCAGTTTAAGCAATTAAAAACACAAATTTTTGATCTTGTTTCTTTAACAAAAGAAAACAAATCGTGAAACGTTTGTTCCTAAACCACAGAAAACACATGGGGAACAAAACAGGAAATTTTCTTTTCGTGTACTTAGATTTAAAGCATATTTTTCTTCTGATTATTTTTCCAATACCTGTTACTGTCAGCAACATTACTTCCGAACTTATTTGAAAAATTTAATTTACTCTGATGCATTCTATATTCATATTACTTCGCAGAACGTTTTAATCAAAACTATATTGACTATTCATGCCAATAAATTCATAATGCTTCTCAATTTAGTATAGCTCCACCTAGAAGTTTGTGGTCTCTGTGTACGTGTATTCCTACCTACTTTACTGGGTGAATATTGGTTATTGTAGGGCCATTGGCCATCAACAAGTTATCAAACAAAGTTTGATTAAATGGTTAGATTAAAACGTCTAAAAGTATTTATTTGTAGTAACTGTTTGCATCAAACAGTTTAAAAATCAAGTTAAACAGTTTTTTATGAAACAGTTTGAGTTTCAAACAGTTAATTACATAAGAACGTTGAAAAAAGTTCAGGTAAATTCCATTAAGTAATTATTTCTTCTGTAGGTATCAAATAAAAAAAAATCAGTTTGTCAAAAACTAAATTGTATATTTATATAAAAATAATAATAGTGAATTAAAAAATAAAAATCCTGCTGCGGTTGCTCCTCGCCTTTGTCCTCCCTCCGGACGCCTCTGCAAACTTTCAGATATAAGTTAAAAAAAATCGAAATCAATGTTATTAAACTAATGTAATATTAAATTTCGTGGTGTTACTGTAATAAGAATATTTAAAAATTTCATAAATTGAAAATTGTAAATAATTTAAAAATAATTGAAAATAATACAATATTTTGAAGCAGTTAATAAAAAAAATCTATTATTGCTTTGTATAACCGAGTTTGCCAACCACAAACCAATTTGTTTCAAATTCGATAAAATTCCAATTTAAAATAATTTAGTCCATGCTTCATATAATTACGATTTTATTGTTTAATTAGAAAATTTAATGAATTATTATTAATTATAAATTAATAAAATTCAATTTTATTCGCAAATTTTAAATTTATGACGATTAAAAATTACATTTGTTAGTGCTCAGACTTGTATTTTGCTATGCAATGGTTTTGTGTTTAAATATTTTTTTTTTGAATAGTTGCTGATTCCATTTGTTTCTCTTTTTTAATGAATATTTCTCTTTATCCTTTTATAATCGATACTTTCTGTTATTATTCCTTTATTTTTGTTGTTATATCCAGTATTATATTTTTTAGTGAAGTTTTATGTTGTGTTTACTGTTGTTTTTTAGTTTTTCTCCTCATGATTCTCATGAAAAGGTAGGAAGGTTATAAAAAACAGAAAGGGAACCTGATAAAAAAGAGATAAAGAAGAAATAGAATAAAATAATACAACAGAACATTAATATACAGTTTAAAGCTATATGAATGTTTCAATGAATCATGCGAACAATAGGTATAACTAAATTTAAAAAATATATAATTTTTTATTTAAAAATATCCCATTTTATGCATATCACGATTATTAAAATCATTTAAACCAAAAATTTAGTTCTAAAATTCTCAAACGATATAATTTATTCTCTTAACGTTTCATCCCACTTTGAAAATGATTCAATATCTACGACTAAAATGGGTAGTATGAACTCGAAAGTTTATACTTTAAATATAGTAAGAGTAAGTAATAAGATACTTAAGGTCTTCTACATTCAATCTCCCAATTAGGGAACTGAAAATCTGAATATTTTCTTTCAAAACGGAGCCCAATTTATTTGGGTACAAAGTGTAGATATTCTTCGTGAAAATGATGAGCAGGGGAATTTGAATTTATATAAAATTTATAATAGATTTAATCCATTGTAATTTCTTAAAAAAAAATATGTTTTTCTTCAAGCGTAGTAAGTATAAAGTAAAGGGACATTATTTACCTCATAGAGCTGTGAAAAAATCGTATAGCACTACAAAAATTTGGCCTGTCTTATCGAGCAGCTTCTAAAACTGTTTTATAATTTTAAATTGTAAAAATTAAAAGGCATTAAAAAATTCTTAGTTATTTATTGAAGTTTTCTACAATATGCGTAAACAAATTGTTTAAAGTGAAACTTTTAGAAATACCTATTTAATAAGCGAAATATTTATCCTAAATAAATCAATAATTTGGGAGAATGATTTGTTAAAAAAGTTAAAATACAAATGTAAAAATTGCAGCTATTATTTGTAATTATATTATCAGATTTAATATTTTAAATTTAATATAAATTCGAACTCACTTCTCTCTTTAGTAAAATCATTTAATCAAGAAGAACAGAGAGAAGAAAAACAAGAGAAAAATTTCCAGATCACACGTCATATGTTCCATTAAACTCCTCAGAATTTTTATTTATATTCAAATTCGAATTCCGTTGTCTCCTCGATCATGCTAAGTCGAATTTTGTTTCCTAATATCCGAAATGAAATAAATGAGTGAAAACAGCTTTCCACTGTCGAAATTGTTCGTGAAAACTCGCGAAAGCTTCAAACGACAGCGCGCTTTCGACAGTCAGTTGTGCTTTTAGCGTGCTTTGAGCTACACGGACATTTCCTCGAGCTTTCCACTTCATCTAATAGCATCTTCTCTGTGTGCATGAATAAAAAAACTTTTTCCACTTCAGGTAAACTTTTTTAAACTTAGTTTTGATCTTATGTAATCTAAGAAGAAACTTTTTAAATGGTTTCTTTAAAATTGGAATTTGAAATTCGCGCTGAAAAGTTATGAAAGTTTGAAAAGTAAGTTAAAATTTAATTACAATAGTTTTTACTAATCAATGTTGATTTCTTTATGTTTCGTTTTTTGATAAACTAAATTAAAAATCTACAATTTTATATCAATAGGTATAAAATAAAATAGTTCTATATTTTTATTAAATCCACAATTCTAAAATTCAGATAATATATTGCCTCAAAATAGATATAATATATTAGATATTCATTGTCTTGTTTAAAATTTTACAAACTGTAACTTTTCTTAGACTTTTAGAAACTTTTTCTTTAAATGGCTACCAAAAAATGACTCTCCAAGTGAACGATGAATTTTGCTTTTATTTTTACACAAGAAAAATTATGCCTTTTAATTGTCTGATTTTTCTAAATTTTTTTAATTCTGTTTGTATAATTTTACTTATTAAACAGAATTTTTGTTATTTAAAAAAGTTGGGTATTGAAACCATTATTTTTATGCCAAACTTAATTTCTAAATCAGAAATTATCTATAAATAAATTGGTAATTAAATGGTTTTATCCATATTCCCTTCTAAGTCTTCATGATTATTCCATCTTATTTTCTGTCTGCCTTTTTCAACATAGCAACAGCTGTCATAGCAAACAATTTAATCGTTGCCTACTAGTGTGGGAATATAATTCCTGTATCATGTGACACTACTTTCGACAAATGGAGTTGATTAAATTTTGTTATTAATAAGTGACAATATTCTTCAGAAACAAATTCATGCTCATATTAAGCAAAAAATAAACAAGTTCAACTATTTTTACTCTCATCTCTGTTTCAAAATTATTTTTTATTATCATTGTCCAATGTTGACTTAACCCTATTACAAATAACTTTCCCCCATCTAAATTATTAGCAATAGAAAAATTTCCACACCAGAACTCTGCTGTGCAGTGAACTAGAGTCTGTTCGCTATACTTACGCGGGTTTCGGATTAACAAAATTATGCAAATTAGTCATTAACAACCAGTTCCAATAAGCCTCTTCCCAAGAAATTAGGTAAAATTGCCCTAATGGTCAAATTTAAATTAAAATACCATTAGGGTAGGTACTAAATTTGTTACAAATATTGCAGTTGAATTGATTCTTTGCAAGTGTTGACATTGTATGTATATTGTAAATTTAGTGGAAATTTTAAAAATGCCTAAACGTTTTTTAGATGTAGATAGTCCGATTTGTAGTGTACATAAGTATTTTACGGATGAAAAAGAAAATGGCGGTCCTTTAAAATCAGTAATGTATGTACAATAACGCGTATGCGATGTTCCGAGAATTAATGAAACCAAATTAAGGGGAGTATTACAAAATTACAATAGTGAACTGAGAAGAGAAGATTCAATTTTTTTATTTTTCATTTGAAATTCTCTACATATGGAACACATTTTCATGTTAAAAAATATTTTATTTGAGCTAAATAACCGTCTTATTATACATAGACCATATTTTCTGTGTGAAGTGTAATATAAAATTATTATTAGGTTTATAATAGCCACATTAGACTCCATTAATGAAGAAGTTTAATTCTGCTCTCAAGTGTACAAAAGATTCTCCATTATTATTTAATTAAAAAGTTGTACATTATTTTTCATTTCATTTAACCAGTTGATATTTCCCCAAAGAACAGGTCAAACTTTCGGGTACTTACCTGGAAATACTCATAATTTTTTTATCGGAAACCCGCATAAGTATAAGCACGTTTTTTCATGTAAAAATCATTGGTGTCCAAGATCCTATTTATATAAAAGAAATTATTTCTTCTGTGGTTCTGTTGTCTAAACTAATTTTTGGCTGGCTCTTATTTGTGTAAGCCACATTTTTCTTTAGAATTTATTATTATTTTTTCAATTTTTTTCAATTTATTTTCATAAATTAATTAAATCGCTTAATTTATCTTCCAAAATATTTTGGATTGCCTTGGTAGGAGTGCTATTCCTAAAGTAGCACTGGGAAACAGTAACAAAGCCTACACAGAACACAAGTCTAATAGTAGTCGATGTCGATGACACAAAATTAAAAAAAAAAACAAAAAACAAAAGTTATTTATTGAATCCTCGATTGCTAATTTCATTCTTTTGAGTGTAGTTTTTAGTGCTTTTAAATAAATCTAAATAGAATTTTTCTCTAAAATAAATAGGAAAGCCTTTACAGTTCATCAAATTTCTAGAGGTGTTCGACGCCCAGACAGAGAACGCGCTACGTGTGACTAAGATAGCTATTTTACAGTCTGCTAAACAAGTTATTCTAAATAGTTTTTAATATTTTTAGGTAATTAAATTTTAAAAGTGTGGAATATTTTAGGGATTAAATTGGTCTGATTGGACTTTCTTAGAACGTTTTTAAAAGCAGCTAAAGATAGTATGTAGAATTGAAAATAATTATTATGCCATAAAAGGTGTTTTGGAATTCCTTCAACCTTTTGAAATTGAGTCAGAAAATATAAATTTTATAGGATAGCGGAAAATACCTATAATTTTTTTGTAGGCCTTTGTAAATCGTGGAAATAGTTTATATTTTATTTCTATCTTATTAAGGAAAATGGTACCTATTATTAATAACGGTTGTTCCTGAAACATTACTAAAATTTTCGAAATTTTGTTTTTCTACAAAATAATAAACTATACTATTTAGAAAAAAATTTATTTCTCTTATAATTTTATAAAAAAATAACAGGGGAATATTTACATTTCTTGATCTATTAAACAAAACGATAAATTATCTCGACGAATGACACCATGTTGTAGTACGGAAGCTAGCTTTACATTTTTGTTGGTGGTTTCATGGGTTTCATAGCAATTTTTTGTAATTGTAGTTTACACGTACATATACCTCTTAACACTTGTTTGCTTTATTAAAAAAGTGTGTTGTTGTGTTTTACGTCGAAATAAGTCAAAAACAACTTGAAACCCCATATAAAATCAAAAAGGAGAAACGGAAAAAAATTGAGCCTGTAAATGAACACAACTCAGAAACAAAAATAGCTATCTAATAAAAAAAAATAAAATTTGATTCTTGTGCATCTTCGTTGTAAAAATAGATAATACTTTTTTGATCTTAGGTACAGATATCATTTTAATGGTCTTCCGAAAAACTTTCTTCAGTTTCCATATCAGATTCAAAATCAGTCTCACTGTCACTGTTTAAGTTAATTATAAATCTATCAGTTGCCTCATCCAAAGTAACTTCTCTGTCATAAAATTTAGATTCCCACATTTTAGCATTATTACAACGAGATTGCCACTCCTCTTTAGAAAACGTATAAAAAAAGTCTTCACACAACAGTTGTACGTCTTGCCTCTTAAATGTAGTGTTGTTACTAGCTACATATTGTTTCAATGATGCCCACACTAATTCGATCGGATTAAGATCGGGATGATACGGTGGCAAACGCAAACCACTAAAACCATGTTCATTTATCATTTCTTCAATTGCATACCTCATAAATCGTGACTTATGCAATAGCACTAAACTGTATAATTGCGTTTTGAGCATATCCTCTTCGTAAGCAATATTATGATTCCTTGACCAATCCTGCATGTCACCTTTTTTAGAAGTTGACGTTGGTGCTTTATTTACCTGGACATTATGGTAAGGAGCATTATCAACAATAATGACGCTTCTTGGAGGGAGGTTCGGAAACAGCTTTTCTTTCAACCATTTAGAAAAATTATTAAAATTCATTTCATCGTGGTAATCTCCACTTTTGGTTCCAGATTTGAAAATTAACCGGGCATTCGGAATAAAGCCCATTTCACCTCCTGCATGGACAATAATTAGTCTATCACCTTTATTAATTGGTTTCTTTAATCCCTCATTTGAATTATCACTCCAAGCTTTCTGGTGTGTGTGGGAGGCATGAATGTATGTTTCATCTAAGTAGACAATTGGACGGCCCTCTGCTCGATAACTTTTTAAACGAATCAGATAGTCTAAACGTAGCTTTTGAATATCAAACCTTTCCATTAATATTTTTCTGTTTGTTTTTGTTTTCCGCCAACGAAATCCTAGCGACTTTATTATTTTTCTTAAACTTTCATAGCTTCCTTTGTACCCTGTAGCTTCTCTAAATTTAGTCAGAATTGTTTTTAATGTTGGAACAATATTTTCCGAGATTAACATGAACAGAATAATTCTTTTTAAAATACCTTTGTCAGCTTCATCTATATCATTAACTGTTTTTGGTTTTTTAATGGTTTTTCTTGGTGATGAAAATTCCGATATCTCACGGTTATCGATTCTTTTTTTCTCTCCAGAAATGCGGACGACAGTGTTTTTAGATACTCCTGTGGCTGCAGCAACACGATCATTTACATTTTTAAATGGTATTGAAGGTGAATTAAAGTTTCCTTCTCTTCTCATAAACTCTATAACATTGGCTATTATTTCGCGAGATTGACTGTTAATCACGCGGCCTCTTAATTTGCTATTAAACTCCATACTTAGGTTTTATTAAACTGTAATGAGCAAAAAACACAAACGAAAATAAAAGAAATGTTTTAGCGAAATTTACATCTGACATTTACGTCTGAATGAAATAGTGAAATACTTGATGCGCAGAGTGTACTTTCATTGCGTAAATCCGTCGGGATGCCTGTCAGTAGTGCTTTCTCTGTCTAGCCGTCGAAAGCCTCTAGAAATTTGATGAACTGTAAAATGATATGGGATTTCAGCACGACGATGCAACACCCGGTGTATCTTGTTTTGTAATTAAATGCGATCCACCCTGTCTAGCGTTACCATTTTTTATTTTACGTCAAAAATTAAGTTTTAATTTGATAACGTTCCCAGAATGAAAATTACATTCGTACGCCGTAATTGAAGCTTATCCCGGTTTAATACGATTACATCATTTGAGGAGATTGGCTACTGTGAAAGGTAGATAATTAATAACTGTTCGAATATTATTTTCCACAATGTAAAATCGTCAAGGGTGAACCGTCTGTAGGATTTGAGGGGATTAAAATAATAATTTATTGTGAGGCTAGCAACGTTGATGAACTAATAACTGAAAGGCGGCATATCTCTAGCTATCCTCGTTTTCATTTATATACATAAAGGTATAAAGGTCAATTCGTACTATACGGAATATCAGCGTCACGTAACGGAACGGTAACAGAACGGTAACGGAACGATAACGGAACGATAACGGAACGATAACGTCACGTCAAAATAAGCTCAAAAATTTATAAAAGTATATAATGTTTATTCTGTAAAATTGTCTACATGAAATAAATTATATATAAATAAAAATTTCCTCTGTTTATTCGGCCATGTTTTTATTTTCTATCATTTAAGCACAAGCACTAGATACATATGTTTTGGAAAAAAAATTTCCATCTTCTGGTGCAGTTAGAAAGATGGGTGGAAGCTGGTGGTAATAATAAAACACTGAGTGAAAAAGTAATGATTATAATGATTAACTAACTATTTGAAATTACAATAATTACGAATAGTCAACTTGTTACAGTGTTACCAACTGTTAAAACTAAAAAGGATCTAAAAACGTTGCAGTACTAACATAAATATACAAGTTTGATTGTTACAAGACATTTTTAGGTATTTATATAAACATAATTCATCTTCTTCTTCATTTTTCAACCAACCCATAAAACTTTAATTCCACGACGCTTTCAGAGTCTGCGTTAACTTCCTATTCCCTTAACATTGACGAAACACTTTTCACCTCGGTAATTGTGATGTTTGGAATATTTCCACACGCAGAATACTGCATATATGTACCTAAGGGAAAGTATTTGACGCGGCAATGAAATCTCTCACCATTTTCGCCACTTATAGCAACTAAATTGGATAGGAAAATATCTAAAACGGAATGCAAAATGGTATATTACATCGCTAGTGCGGAAAGTGAATAGGAAATAATGTACGAGGCGCGATAACCAACTTTTAAGACATTTGAAATGTCAGTATTATACAGGGTAAATTCTAAGTTGATACTTTTATTAACTGTGTATAGAAGTTATCATCTTCAAGATTCCAAGGCATTGGAATATGCTTGAACCTGTATTACAATACTTTCCGGTCTTGTAACTTAAATTACTATTTTGGATTTTTACGAAAAGTATTGCAAATGTATTTTAAATATTATTACATTAAAAACAAAAAAAGATCAAACTTTCGGGTACTTACCTGGAAATACTCATAAAATTTTTAATCCGAAACCCGCGTAAGTATAGCGAACAGACTGTACCTAACTTTAGTCAAATCTCAGTTGCTAGCCAAGAAAAATCATTGTACATTGTACCAGAAGGTATTTCACAAGTATCACAGCTTTATTTGAACAAGGATAATTCCTTGACTCTAGTATTTGGATATTTACAAAGTTAGCCTAGAATACGGATACCGGATACATGAATATCCGGATACAGAAACTAAAAAATACCCGGATACAGCTTTCGGATACATATAAAGCATTTATTCATATTGTCCATACTTTATTCTACCAGCACTACAACTTTATTAGGGGGGCTGAACCATTACAGTCATTATGCATTTTATGACAAGTAAATTTTCAAAATGACTACCTTGTTAATAAACAGTATTTTATACAGCTAATATTCTCTTATTTCTGAAAAATGTAGTTACCCAGTTTCAATATAATAATGATGCATATTTATTACATCATGTATACTAAACATCTACTGAAAATATTTCCAGGAAAAAAGGGATTTTTTGTCAAGGATACCTTTACGTCAAAAGCGCCATATATCAAACATTTCTGTGTTGTTTTGTTTTTTTACGACAAATATATCGAAAGCGGCATATTTACAAGAGGAAGCGAACTCTATCTGACTATATGAATAATAATTGTAATAATATTTATAACAAGCTGTTATCGTAGAAAACTATATCTGTTTTTTTTTAATCTCATGTTGTTGGGAATTTGTTTCGCATTTGTTATTTTTGGTTCTATTTTGATCGTGATTTAAATCGGGCAAACCCGGTAACGGTAGTTTTTGCACGAACTTTAACGAACTCCAGAATTAAACCTTATTTGAATTTAATTATGGATTAAAAAGGTAAATGTCTCAAATATTATTTTTACATTGGTTTAGATCCTAAATATTTTTATTTAGACGAGCTTAAGAGGCGAATAGTCAAATATTTTTATGGGGTAAAATGTCTAAATGTTTTTATATGAAAATTCTTAAATGACCCAAATATATTTACATAAATAGGCGTAAGTGGTAAAGAAATCAAATATTTTGCTATGTGAAGATTAAGAGATAAAGTAGCCAAATATTTTTACATGGACAAGCTTAAGGTATAAAAGTTTATTCTTTTATTGAACAAAATTAATATTTTAAGACATTAAATCGTCTCTTTTTAGATTCCTACGAAAGTTTATTTCATTCTCTTTAGAATTTTCTATTGTGTCACGTTGGTAAACAAGACTTTCTCGAGGAGTTAAACAGTTTCTATTGAAATGCATACTTTATTTAATGTTAGCATTAATTTTCAACTTCATCTGCTTTGCAGTTTGAAATAAAGTTCCTTGAGTGAAAGAAAATTGGATTTAAAACATTTTAATTCTTCCATTTCAATCTAATGTTGTATTATCTTAGTAAGTTTGTCAGTCAAACTGAAAAAAAAAGGTTTTTTTTTATTTTCTGCTTTACTTTGTCTAGATTTTTGAAAGATAAGTTAAAAAACAGCAATGATTTTTGATGAAGATGGTGAGGAATTTTGTTCAGCTTGCTTTAGGATTATTGGTTTCTTCTTACTATTTTTCTTGAATATATTTCGAAAAGGGTTTTGTATGTTATTAGAATTTCTGGCTTTTCGTTTCTTCTGTCGATAGTTCTTATTTTAAGATCTTTATTTCATTTTTAAATTACTTATAACTTCTAAATCATTGGAGATTTGTATTAAGTATCAACATAGTTACTAACAGCAAAATATGATGCCTTCCAATCACACATTGTTATGTATTTATTATTATACTTTACTAAAAATAACTCTCATCAATATTCAAACGTATACTCTGAGATAAATCGATCCAGAATAAATTAATAAGAACAGAAATTAATTGTTTAATCCTAAAATATCCAATTAACTTATTTAAATTCAAATACTGCTAGCTAACGATATTAATGAAAGTGTCTAAAGTAATTTTGAACTGAAGATCGCACATTTTGTTTTCCGCTGCCTACATATATTAGTCAATGCTCTATTGGGTTTTAGAGAGTTGCCGGAAAACAGAATAATATAAAGTGATCTGGAAACAATTTCCCTGAACCATATTTTTGGTAATAACATACGTTTTAGGAACAAACAAATACTATTTCACAATTTATAAATAATACAGATTATATTACATATACAATTTTAAATACTATTATAAATGGTATACCTATACTATTACTAAATTTTTCATTAGTTTAATTCTATAAAAAATCGCATGCTTTCATTTTTCTTTCGAACGATTTTACTGCGCATAATATTAAAACGATAATGATGATACCACAAAATAGGGTATGATAAAAATTCAAATGTCCAACTTTACGTAACGTTAATAGAGTCCTTCGTATCCCGAAATTCGAATATCCTCAGGACAGAGCTCGCAAAATGTGATAATTAAAGCCACATATAACTTACTCAAAGCTATCAACAAAGGATTTCCAGGACTAACTAGTGTACCTAGCCAGTCCTAACTAGGAAAGTGTATTCATTTAATAATAAGATATAATACATAGCATACCTAAATGGCAAAGCGACTTAACATAGAATTTATAGAAACTTGGTGGTGTTATTATTAAAATTTTACAAAAATATGTAATCTTAACGGTGCTGCCAAAAAAATGATACTTAAATAAGAAGAACCGATATTTTTTTGCTAAATTAAATATATTACTTTCAAAATTATGACACTGATAATTCTTTTTTGTCATAAACAAAGTATATAATAATATTTTTCCTACGACCACTTAGGAAAGTGACACATATCACACTATATAGACCTATGGAAAGTGCCCTATATCACACGCGTATGAATAAGAATTTACTTTCCACCCAAGTGAGAATATGCTACTTTCCGCAGTAGCTGTCAGAAAATGTCAAACACATAATTTCTATTTTGATCTATGTAATGTCCATATTAATACTAAAATCGATATGATTGTTAAATTATTGTAAATTAGATCCTAAATATTTATCTTTAACAATTATTTTTAAAATAATTTTAAAATAACTAAGATATATTTGCTTTTTATTCTGGTTAAACACATAAGCGATTAGATCAATCAATTACCGTAAGGCCTGTTAGCTCAGTTGGTTAGAGCATCAACTTTGCAATTTGAGACCGTCCAACGACCGCGATCGAATCCTGGCTGTGCCAGATTTTTTTTTTTATTTTTTTTTTATTTTTTTTTATTTGTTTAGAAATTATGAAAATTTAATAAATACGATTATTGTTGATTATTTTTTTAAACACATTTTAATTATTATAATAATCTGGTTTTACATTTTTTGATGAAATTATTTTGTGGTCGTAGGAAAAATATTGTACATCACTTGTGTGAAAAGTGATTTTCCACACTCGTGTGATAGTCGCACTCGGCTTACGCCTCGTGCGACAATATTTCCCACTCGTGTGAAAAATGTCACTTTCCACACTCGTAATGTAATATACTATTTCATAGGCGGGTGAAAATTAAACCATTTATAACTGGAAAAGGAATAATATTTATGAAGAAATTGCACTAGAGTTCTTTATGTTCTTTATGAATTCTGAGTAGTGCGATAATAAATGAATTGTTATGATCTCTTTAGTTAAGAAAAATTCATAGCACAAAAAAACCCTTTCGACTAGTTTTTTTTTAATATAAACTTAATACTACCAGCACAGCTTATACAAT